AGGGTTGTGCAACAAGCCTCAGGGCAGATAGCTCCGTAGTCGAGTCAAGGGTGTGTTTCCCAGTTAGCAGAAAACCCCTGGGAAATTGGTGGGCTTCTGTGTAGAAATACTGTGTCTTTCTAGAAGGAAGTACTCTTGAACAAGTGCTGTGCGATCCAGTCAAGATTATAGAATTGCTGCAAGAAGTCTGTAGCTTTCTACCATTTAGAGTTCATTTGATAATTTGTGGGATTTCAGGTTCTTTTTTTTTTGCTTAGTCGAAGGATTGTGAACGCCAGCTATGTACAGAGGTTTTAAATACTGCCTATTATGGAAAAATATGAACTGTTCTAATTTTACCAAGAAGAATACAGCTTTTGTCTTTTTGTTTTTGTTTTGTTTGTTTTGTTACTAGTTAAGATGTCATTTCAATTGGGTGGTAATAGACTGGATATAAACAGTTTGTCCTCCACATTCATCCTAGTACTCTTTATTCTCTTCTCTCTTTGAAACAGAAATTGATGATTCCCTTTCCAAGCCGTTCGCAGTTGCCAGGAGCACTGATGATCGAAACGCTAGTTCAGGTGTTGCTTTGACAGTCTCCTCACCATGGGATCGCTTCTCAAGCAAGGCGTATTGCCTTGAAGGTCTATGGTAGTGAGCGTTGGGTTTTGGGCGTTCTCCATCCATCTCCTCAGCCACTGCTGTTAACTGGCCTTCCACCGTGCCGTGTCGGGAGTCGGGCAGTCGAGCATTAAAGGCACCAAGGAGGAGGAGAGCGTTAGCTGGGCCTTCGAGCCCAGCTCAGGATTGAGAAAAACAGCGTGGTTGGAAAGGAGGTTGGTCTCTGCTTGGAGATGAACCTTTGATTCTACACACATGTGGGATTTGGGATAAAGAAACCTGCACCGTGGGTCGGTGGGGTGATCTCGAATCTCCAGGATGGTTTGCCGATGGCAGGGCAAATCGGATTTTTGGTCATGGAATAGTTTGGGTTGGAAGGGACCTCAGAGATCATCTCGTTCCAACCCCCCTGCCATGGCAGGGACGTCTCCCACCAGATCCGGCTGCTCAGGGCTCCATCCAGCCTGGCCTTGGACCCCTCCAGGGATGGAGCATCCACAGCCTCCCTGGGCAACCTGTGCCAGCGCCTCAGCACCCTCGGGGGTTAGCAGTTACTGGTTTGTTTTGTTCCTTCTTCAGCTTTCTTTACTTCTCCTGTTGGTTACAATCTCTTTTGAATTGCTGAACTGCTGAGTGTTGTAGTTCTGTGGAACTCTGTGCTCTGGAGCTATCCAGGCATCGGCTTTCCTGGTTGCCCCTTGCAGATGCGTGGCTCACTCACTGCGACAGTTCTGGGAGCTTTCCTTGGGACATCCTGGAGGTTGTATTCAGTCGAAACTGCAGAACCAGAGCTCGCTTTGCTGTCCCATTCTGACCTGATGGGACAAATGCAAGGCCGTGGAAACAGAGCGTTTAATCGCTCTTCTGATTTTTGCATTATTTCTAAAGTTGGGAGAGCCACTGTTTCTTCAGCAGCATTCCAGGCAAGAATCAGTCTTGAGAGCCAGCTATTTGTTTTGATCACTGTTTTTTTTACACATTTTCTTTCTCACGCCAGTAATTCTCTTAAAAAGGCTCTGCCACCATTTTTTAGAAAGTTTGGACTCAATAAAAGAGGCTGCTGGGGAGGAGCAGAGAAGTGAAGATGATTTTCAAAATCGAGACTTCTGTTCTCCCTCTTTTATTTTTTTTGCCCCAGGAAACTGAATACTCATTTCTTCCTGAAAGGGGTAAATAAACTTGGGCTGTTTTTTGCTACTCGCTGGGTTCGGATCAGTGTGTAAGCACAGAGGGGGTGGATGACCCCGAAGCAGAGAAGCGACAGCAGGAGCGGCGACTCATGTGCTGTTGCCCTACTGTGTGGAAGGAATTGCTTGAAAGGGCTGGGGAGCCGAGATAACAGTGATCCTGATGAGATCCGACGTTGTTCGTATCTGATCTTTAGTTCAGAAGCTGTGGAGTTCCTCTGCCGTCGATCGAACTTGATGCATCGGGGTCCTTTTTCCTTTGTAGTAGCGTCAATAACGGCTTGAGCCGTTGGATGAAAATCCATCCATTCGTGTTCCTCGAAACGCGTTTTGGGGACGATACTTTTTTAAAACTTGCATGTAGGTTTTGTGGGTTTTTTTACGGCTTTGATCTTCGCCTGGGTGCGGAGCCGGTTTTCCAGGCAAGAAAGTTCTCGGCCCCAGAACAACTCGCGACTTAAATAGAGCCCGCTAACATCAAACTTTCCAAGTGTCCGGGTGCTTTGGTACAGAGCCATTGAAAACAGGCACGGTTATGAGGAGCCGATGAGCTGCAGAGAGGAAAACAAGCACTTTGCATTCTAGACATTTTTTCCTTCCGTGTTCAATATCTAACCTGTCAGGCTTTCGGGATACTGTTCCTACCGGTTTTAAAGATGACAGAGAGGACTTGGCAAGTTAGGAGGTGAGATAGGAGTGATACTGAGACTTCAAAATAAATAATTCTCCCCAAGCTGTGTAACCTTTTCGGAGTTAACAAAGATATTACCTTTTCAGCGCGTCATTCATGGTAACAGTTGTCTGTGTCTTTGCTGTCCAAGATCCTTAGGAAAATCGCCAGCCGATTTCAATTTTCCTCATTACTTTCATCAGCATAGGCTTCCTCTGAAAAGAAAAATAAAGCCAACTCTTTCCTGACTTGGGGGGAAAAAAAAGGTTGTGCAGAATAATAATAATAACAAATTTAAAAATGCTGATTTTTTCGTGAATGTTTTTAAGTTCCTCGGAAGCCGAGCTGCAGATTCTAGCTGAGGTCCTCGGCCTGCATGTGACCGCAGAAGCTGCTGCCGGAGATGTCCTTCACCTCAGCGCGTGCCACGCACGCGCTCTCCAGGGAGCAGCACGTCGCTGGGGCCGGAGCTCACGAAAAAGGGGCTGCACCTCAAACCTTGCGTAGGCTGTTGTCTTTGGAAAGCGTGGGAGGGATTGAATCTGAAGGATGCTCTCGGGAGCTACCTCACACGTGTTACAGAACTGCAGAATCATTGAGTGGTTTGGGTTGGAAGGGACCTTTAAGATCCTCTTGTTCCAAACCCCTGCCAGGGGCAGAGACACCTCCAGCTACGTTATGGGAATTCGAAACTAAACATAAATATCTTTACAGGTTGTGAAGCCTGTGAAATAGCACGTGTGGCTCTGTTCTGTGTGATGTTCCTTGAGTCGAGTGGAGCGTTGGGATCTCGGCTGGGCGCGCGATGGGACCATTGGCGTCGAGCGAGATGGTCGTACGTGAAGCCAGGAGTCAGCAGTCGCTGGTGTGGAGCTACAGCAGCTGCTGCTGGAGTTAGAAGAATTTGGGGGAGGACTGGGTGGGTACGGGGGTTCGAGGTGACAAAATAAGGCAAATGAGAATAGCTCTTCGTTAGATGCCATAAGATCTGACTTTGGCAGTCAGAGGGGAAGCTGAGGGACCTCCGTTACTTCCAGCATCTGGTGGTCTTTTTTGAAATACGAGTGTTTTCAGCTGGCAGGAGCATCCACAGCTGTGGCCAGGGTGGTGGCGTCACCATACTCGACCACTGCCTTCTCAGCCCTGGCTGCAGATGACATTTTCTTGTTTACTGATGGATGGAGAAGCAAGCCTGCCCTCTTTCAGAGAGAAATGAAGGGTTAACTTGGCCATCAGTGTGGCCGGTGTGGTTGGGAAGGAGTGTTCTACAGGATGTCTGCTTAAAGTCCTCTTCTGGAAGAAGCAGGTGGGCCCAGTCATGCCGTTGTCTCTGAATCGTGCCTCCTCCTGCGGTGGTGGGTCCTTGAGAGGTTCTTTACAGTCTCCCTCGGCTGGAGAGTTGTGAAATTATGCCTGAGGAGTGGAGGGAGGAGTTGTAGGGCTCAGACTTTCACACCTTTCTCCCTCTCAGAGTGTGGAGGGACAGCCTCAATTGCAAGCACAGATTTCTCTCGCTCTGTGAGTTTATCAGCAAATGAGATCTGGTACGACAGAAAAGTGGTCTCTGCTAAAACCTCTGCTTCTGTACGTCTTGCTGTCACTTCCCACTCAACCAGGGTAACTGCCCCAGCTCTCACGAGCCTTCCTCCCCACCTCCTTCCTTTCCATCTGTGAGTGCCGAGCTCGTGTCGTTATCCAAGTGAACCTCACACCCAGGAGATCTACAGTTTGCGCGGGTGCTGCTGGAATACCCCTGCAGCTGTCATTTTGACGTGTTTTAAGCTTCTCACCCCTTTTGCACCAGTCATACGTTAGCTCCCCCTTCAAAGCCTGATCCCTGTCGTTCAACAGCGGGACTCCAGCTCCCGCCACCCACTTAGAGCTCCAAGCAGCAAGAACCTTTGGCCTTTTTCTCTTGCTGCCCCCTCCCGCTAACAGCAGTCCCCACAGACTTCCACATAACCCACATCCTTGTCTTCCTCCCCTGGATTGGTGCAGGGCAGAAGATGGGAGCTCTGAACCTCTGTCCCAGTCTTTGCCATCTAGGAGGACTCTGGGTGGGAGCATCTCAGGGCATGGGGTTTACTGCTGTTAGCTTCCAGCCTGCTGCAAAAGGCATCAGAACCTTTCTGTGTGTTATTGCTACTTTAACTGGTTGAACCGAGCTTTTTAACCGTTAAGATTTAATTTGTTCTAAACCTGGGTTTCTGGACTGACAGAAGGTGGTTGAAGGTGTTGCTGAAGGGCCACAGTTGGAACTTTTCCCAATGCTGAAGGTGCTGTCCATATCCCGTAGATACAGAACTGGGCCTGCTCTTCCTTCTGTCTTTATTCCCCTGCGTGACGCGTGGGAGGAAGAGGGTTTTGGGTCGTGTGCTTTTTCTCTCGTGCACCTTCCACGTTCCTTCTGTTGTCCTGCCTGCCCCGCTGGTGTGGGAAAAGAAAACCTCTGCTGTAGTCGCGCTCAGAGCTTTACCGCCTGTCGATGCCAATAACACTTACTGACATGTTCTTTTTTTTTTCTTTTTCTTCTTGTGCAGCGTCTCCCTTTCTGCTCTTTGCCAACCGGCGGGACGTTCGACTCGTGGATGCCGGAGGCACGAAGCTGGAGTCCACTGTGGTGGTCAGTGGTTTAGAGGATGCTGCTGCGGTTGACTTCCAGTATTCGCAAGGCATCGTTTTCTGGACAGATGTGAGTGAAGAAGCCATCAAGCAAACTTACATTAACCAAACTGGGAATGTGGTGCAGAATGTCATCATTTCTGGTCTGGTTTCTCCGGATGGCCTGGCATGTGATTGGATTGGGAAAAAACTTTACTGGACAGATTCAGAAACCAATAGGATAGAAGTAGCTAATCTCAATGGAACATCTAGAAAAGTCCTCTTCTGGCAAGACCTTGATCAGCCCAGGGCAATAGCATTGGATCCTGCTCATGGGTAAATATTAATTTGACTTAAATGCTTAAATGGATACGGTTGGTGATTTATGTTGAATTTGTAGTTCTGAGAAAGAAACGTAGCCTTTTGTTGCAGTTTACATTTTCCCAAGGTATTTTTTCTCAAGATCTGTAGCGGAACGTATGTTTGAGCTTAAATATTCCGGGGCAAGAAATGACAGCCCAGACATAGAGCCAGAAAGAAAAATACAGCTGTTCTTAGGTGCCAAGCCAAATACTCAACCCGATGATTACCTAACTTATTCCATTGCCCTTCTGAAAAGTAAGTCTTTGTTTTCAAGCCTCTTTTTATTGTTATTTTCTCAGTTGTCTGGTAAGTTCGCTTCCATTTCGTACATGATGCCTGCTTAGTGTATCTAGGCAGCAAGGTGTGTAAATCTGCATGTGTTGAAACAGGAATTCTCACTTGCTTTGCTCTGGTAAAACGAATTAGGATATTTTTAAGTGGTGATGCTGAATAATCACGTTTCTGCTGGCAAGTAAAAGAATCCAGGTGAAACTGAGGACTCTGAGTGCTGTAAGGTGACCGGATTAGGAAGCAGTAAGGGAGCACGGTTCCTCCTGCCCTCTTCGACACTCCCCAGCATTTCCCACGTGCTCTGTGCTGTCCCTGTGCAGAGTTCTGGTGGTTTGCGCTTTGGGCCCCATGTTCATGGCAGTGATGGGGGAAGACCTCCTGTTCTGGAAGGAGCCCTGGAACAGGGGCAGAAGCAGCGAGGCGCGCTTCTCCGGTGGGCACGGACCCACCTGACTGAGGTGCTTTTGCCATTAATCTGCTGCCGTTTTCCCAGCTCCTTCTTGAAGATTGCTTTTATCTTCCTCTTCTGTACCGTTTGTGTTGGTAGGATTCTCATCTGTAAGAAAATCGGGCGTCAGCTGACGTTTTCACCGTGTCTGGCCCCTTTGCAAAGGGATGCTGAGTTGGCACAAGGGCTTAGGATAAACCACAAGCTTCATCCAGGCAAGTCCTGCCTGGAGCCTCTGTCAGAGGGCACCAGGAGAAACTCGAGATTGACCCTGAGGATTTTGGAGCCGAAAATATAGAGGCTCTGAAGCCAACTATACTGCAACTGAGAAAGAAATATTGGCTGCATGAAGGAGTTAGAGCTGCTTCGGCAGTGATTGGTACTGAAACACAGCTCCTCCTAGTACCACGAATATCGGTCCTAAACTGGATGTTCAAGGGTCAAGTTCCTTCCAGGCATCATGCCACCGATGCTACACGGAGTAAATGAACTTACTGAATTTTCCTATAAGTAGATCATAAGCTCATGATCAGTATGACGTAGATGGTTACGGAATAAGGGGTGGAATGTCCTGGTTTTAGCTAAAAATGACTGCAGCTTGTCACAAAGTGACTTGTGGATGTTCCTGCGTGGGTATGGAGATGACATGAGAAGGTGTGTAGAGGGTAAGTCTTGTGAAGAGAGGCTGAGGGAGCTGGGGCTGTTCAGCCTGGAGAAGAGGAGACTGAGGGATGACCTAATTGCTCTCTACAACTCCCCGAAAGGCAGCTGTAGTGAGACGGGTGGTGGCCTCTTCTCCCCGGTGAGTAGCCACAGGACAAGAGGGAATGGGTTCAAGTTGTGCCGGGGGAAGTTTAGGTTGGGTATTAGGAAGATCTTCACCAAAAGGGTGGTGAAGCACTGGAATGTGCTGCCAAGGGAGGTGGGGGAGTCACAAACTGGTTGGATGTGGCACGCCAGGAGATAATTTGGTGTCAGGGTGGTGTAGGACTATAGGTTGGACTTGATGCTCTTAAGGTCCTTTCCAACCTTTATGATTCTGTAAGATGAGTTTGAAAGCCGACTTCTCCTCTACTACCATAAGTATCCAAGTTACAAAACACAACTAGAAGACAACAGTTTGCCACCTGGTTAGTTAGTACTGGAGGATCCATAGCCAGAGTTAATACCAGTTAACACCAGAGGATCCCTCACTGGAGTTAGTACCAGTTAATGCTGGAGGATCGTGCTGGTCCTGCTCCTTCAGAGCCTTTACATACCGTAGAGGGAGATAAAGTACCTGTGGTGTATGAAAGGAATTTGTTGGGGAATGTAAATGTAGTTAATACCAATCCTGTAAATCAGGTAAACCCCGTGAATCATCCTCAAAATTAGAGGGCCCCCAGGCCGGGTGGAGGGGGGGGACAGCCGAGTTTATTGGACTGTGTGGATTCGGTGGCCTGTCGCATTGGAACCACGAAAATGTAAAGCTCCGGTGGACACTGGTGCACAGTGCACCCTCATGCCATTGAATCGTACAGGGACTGAAACTGTTCCCATTTCTGGGGTGACGGGGAGTTCTCAAAAACCGACTGTACTGAGCCCCAAATGAGCCTTACTGGGAATACTGTAGTGACTGGTCCACATGCATCCCTGGCATAGTCGTCCTCTCGAAAGGGTTTGTGGTTTATCCTAAGCGCTTGTACCAACGAAGGTGGTGGTTTCTCCTGCGCTGGGAGATGGACACTTTCTCGAAAAACCACCTGCTTCAGGTGCGTGAGAGGTGAGAATGGAAACCGAGCAGCAGAAGACGCCTTGGGATTGCCAGGGCAGCAGCCGCCACGCCACGGGCCGCCCCGTCGTCAGGTTGTTTGTGTGGTAGTTCCTGCGTCAGGCTCCTCAGGTGGAGGTGAGGAGTTCTGGGGACGTTTGTGATTAATATGTGAGGGCTGTGCAAGTACTGAATGAAACTGTGCGTACGCCGAGGGACGAGATCCTGAGTTTGATCAAGAGGCCAAATGCCGGAGCTGCCTCTGTCTGTCAGGTAATGGGTAGGAAGGGACAACTAGGATCAGTGAAAGGGAAAGTGGGGTGACTTTGTTGGACCAAAGGACTTTTCTAGAGGTGATCCCATCCTCCTGACTTCCCTACGGATGCCTGAGGCTGAGAAGAACTCCCGTAGCAAGCTGCTG